GGTTTGGCTGTTTTTTTCTTTCGGAACTGGGATTGTCTATAGTGCTCATTTGTAGTCACTGTTTGGTCAAGAGGAAGTGGTGTTGGTAAACCCATAAATGAGAAAGTTCCGTATTCTGCAAGGTCGCTCTGTGTTTGATTCCCACAGCTTTGATCCTTGTGTCTATTTATGCCCAAGCAAAATAGTCTTGGGTATAAATGTGATGCAATCTCTGCTCATTTTGACTTGCGGTGGCATTTAGCCCTTGTTTCACCTGCTTGACATACAGGGTTAAGTTGTGACAATGAGAGTTGCAGTTGAAGATAAGGTCCTCAATATGACCAAACACCAGCTTTGCAACCTTTAATAATTGTCTTAACTTTTCTTTAGTGCTTGGATGAGTCCATCTGCTCCGGCTATGTTTTAACTTAGTGTTTCGCTCATGTGAGTTCTCTTTTACAGTTCCAGTTGGAGAGATTCTTCACACCTTTGGGCATAGTGCTGGTCCTGAACAGCTTCTGGTACCCAGCCAAGTGTAGCTGCGGTTCCTCCCTGGGTAAATAGTCACAACATGCAGGCAGAAGTGTGAAATGTACCTTGAGGAAAGGCTGTTTGTGAAGATAGGTGCTTATTGATAGAATCAGCTACAAAAATCCCCAGCGATACGAACTTTGCAAGTGGAACAAGGTATCTGCATGGGTGTACACGCATGCTGACTGTGGGAAGGGTGGTATTTAGCTGGTGCGTTTCAGGATGCATGAACAGAAATACACTGCTTTTTAGTTTTTGCATATCATGCAAAATGACTTAATCAGTAAACTGAAACCAGACCCAATTATTGGTTAGTAAAAATAACATTATGCAATGTTCCTAGTGATTTAACAGAGGTATTCAAGAATATCGGTTTTATTTTAACTAGTTGCAAATTTTTGTTTATGGAAAATTACTTATTTGAATGTATTTTGAAGTCTCATAAAGAAGAGTTGTAAGGAAATGAAACATATCAACTAAAGGTGTAGATACTTCTGCTTTTTACAGCTCTGTGTGCACTGGAGTCAGTTCTGACAAAAGCTGATGGTATATTTGATTTTGTCCATGCAACAAAGCTTTTTCACAAATTATATTGGATGTAAAACTCCCACGGATTTGCGTAATTTCATTCTCAATTTGATTGTGATATTATTGTTCTGTCACCAAGTGCCTTATTCTATTAATTCTCATGGATTAATGCCCAGCGATGGGAACCTCTCCTTTAACTTGAAGGCAAGACAGTATCAGCTGACAAGCAGACTCTTGCTGCTTGTTGAGAAACATTCATGACCCCTCATCTTGTCTTGGGTCACAGATGTCTCAGAATTTTCTGTACTGTATTCATACTTACTGCACTGAGGAAAGCAGAATGGTTTCAGTTCAGTTTCAGTTCAGACTACCTTACTTGCCAATGTCAAAATGAAAACCAGACATTTTCTTTCAGCAAAGTGAAGGATTAATTTTTTCTTTACAAAATTAAAAAGGTAATTGCAACAGAAAATTTTTAAAATGAATCTAATGCAAGCTTAAAATATAGCTGGCACCACTATCTAGAATAAATTTTCATACTTCTCAGCTTTCTTTAGCTGAATTTCTTCTTGCCTTCAGCTGTCCTCTGAGGTGCTGTTTTATGGGGTGGAGTAAGCTCTAGACTGACTCCAGAATATGCCAAGGTGCCCCCTCTCCCCCTAGTTTGTTCATACCTGAAGAATTCGTTGCATACTTCATGAATTTAGTCTTAATTAATTAAGATTAAATAAATTTTCATTTATTTGTTCATCTCTGCTTCTTTCTTCCTTGCTAATGAATCTTACTGAAGCATGTTGTATGAATTCAGAGCCTTACGGGAGTGAACTTTTGATTTTGGTTATTTACATCTGCCTTTGCAATGCACTCACTCTCTCATCTGTTGATTTGCTTGCTCGGCTCATGTCTCTGTTCAAGATGTTAATTGAATGGTTACTTTATGGGATTCCTTCATCCACAGGTTGGCCTGTATTGCTGTGTTCTTCATGGCTTCTTTACAGCTTTCATGTCATAGAGAGTGTTCTCTGTAGTTCATTTTTTATAACTTTCTTAGGAAAGCTACAACGTGGGGCATCCCTGATAACCATCCAGGGCATCTCTAGTGTAAAGATGACTGACCTGTCAAGGTTTTGAGCTGTGCCAGTTTGCCCCTGTTACTAGCTTTTGAGATCTCAGCTTTTGCCATCTGTCAGTGTGCTACATTAATTAGTCTGCTTGCTGAAGAAAATAACTCAGTGGAGTAGAGCTCTGCAGGAGATTTTGCTATGAGGAGAAGTTGGCGGTGAGAGTTCTGCTTCCTTTTTTCTCTGTGTGCAAAAGAGGAAATGCAGTTGACAAATTTCTAGAACATCTGCGTAACCGTCAGAAGCAGACATGAAATCAGAAATGCAGAATTATTTAAATCTTGCCTTGGTGAATATTCTGTACTGCAGATAGGTTTATTTCCTCCTAAGCCATACGGTTATGTAAGTATTCCAGATGTAAATGTATTTCAAGTCTGGACTCCTAAAAGTTGACTTTCATTGTGCTCTTAATACCCGCATCATAGGGAGATTTGATTAATTCTTAGAATTATACAGCCTGTATAAGAAACCCCTGTTCTTTCTACTTCCTGTGGTAGTAATTATTAAGGAATTAGCATCTCATGTGAGATTCCCCAGCTTGAAGATTACATATGTTTGGAATTCTGTTTTGAGGATGTTAACTGAGTATGCAGAGCGCTCTTGCTGGTTCTTCGATCAGAGAATAATTCCACGCACAAAAGGTGGGTTATATTTGCTCCATTTTTTACTTTTTTTTCCTTTTTGTTATATGTATTTTGGACTCCATCAAATCTCAGGTGTTGGTGTTTTGTCACTGCTGGAAGATATTTTTGCATTTTGAAATTTCAGTGAAAATACTCATCTGTATGTTGATTCAACGAAGAAGAAAGGAGAAAAAAAGTTTGGTATGGCAATTTTCTTTCTCAGCCAACTCTAATTTAATGCCATCATAAAGTAGTGTTGGAGGAGTAACCGTTGATCCTTAATATTGCTTTGCAACACATACCTGCTTTATTCTTTGACAGTGGCACTCTTCAGTGCTATACAGTGTGGATCGTCCCTTCTTGCAACGTATACCATAGCATGAACAGTAAATTAAAACTCATCTGGCAATGTTTTTTACTCCCTTCAGAACATTTCTTACCTTGTTCCTGATGTCTCCTTTGCCTAGGGGAAAGTTCCTCCAGTCAGTTCCAGGTGGAATTTTATTTGATTCAAGAGGTTCTTTACCATTTCAGACTCTGAAGAATGGGGTCAGTTGTTCTTTGAAGGAAGCTGGGTCAGATTTCCTTGTCTTGGTTCTTCTTGTGAGTGATACTGTGCTTTGACCAACCATCCCAGGTTCATTTCTATTCTGTACTTGGAAACCCTAGGACAACTTTCTGAACACAGAATTTGACCTCTCAACTGGATTCTATTGAGGTACAAATTTACACTTTACTGATTGTTCTTTTATTGCTTTTGGTGATGTTAATTATACATAGTTTTACTTTACTTATTTGAAAGAAAACTTGATTAAGCTCAGTAGGAAGCTTGGAGGGGAAGCAATGAGTTTTGATATCAGTCAATCAAATTATTGGAGACTCACACACATTATAACCTAGAACTGAAAAAATAGGCTTTTGGGTTTTTTTTATTTAACAAGAGATTACACAGGGACAGAATTTTAACACTCTGGTGTGTTTTGTGGGGTTTTTTTTGACAAAATCAGCACAGGAAAAAAATGGGGGCTGTTTGTCTCTTGAAACAGTTTATGACTTGCTCATACTTCAGATTGTCTGTGTGTTGTGTTAAATGCTTGATGACAGGAGAGTACCACCCAGGTCATGCTTTTTCATGATAGGACTGATGCCTCTCCAAATCCATGTAGGCTGTGAGAGACATGACCATATATTAATTCTACTGGGCCATTTTCCGTATCCACAAAATCTTTCCCTCTCTGGGCTTTTTCATCCTTAGAACTAGACTCATTGTCCCTTATGGTTTCTAGAGAGGTTCTTTGTCAAGTTGCAACTGTGGGATAATTTGGAATATGTAGGAAGTTTACTAAGGCACCTATGAAATCCTGGACTCTTTGGAAGTGTCAAGTGTTTTCTTTCAGATTTTGGGTACCACGGCTTCATATGTAGTGTCCAGTTATGCTGTGGCTTTCCTGTTAGGATGCTTTTGGGCGGACTGGCATTACAATATTCATGAGACAGAATAATTCCTCCTCAAGATTATTGCCGTACTGGAAAAATGGACCCCTATGTCTTTGTGCTATAGCAAAAACAAAGCTGATCAGCTTCTCTGATCATCTGAGCCTGAGGGAGTGCATGGCTGTGTCCTGGGTCTTTGCGATGTGAAGAGAGATATCCTTTGGCTCTTCTGAGTGAAGAGATCGCTTTCACACTGGTTCCGGTGAGGATCCGTGGGGCTTTTGGAGTTCTGTCCCCAAATGTATGTGGACATGGGGAGTACCGAAAGAGCAGATGGGAGGGTCGTTGTGTTCTCCTTTACTCCTAAATGCATTGATGTCTGTTTGTACTGGTTTTGTATCTTGCAAGATTGTTGAGGAATTTGTGTATCTTAATATCTCTGTGGGTTTTTTTAACATACCGCTGTTTGTAACTCTCCCATTATAAAGGAATTAATTTCTACTTAACTGAGAAAATCAGTAATTGGAATTAAAGAGTGAGAGTGAGCAGGATTGATAAGAACTTAGAACAAGAGTATGTAAAAATAGATTTTTTATTACATAAATTTTGTATTAATTTTATTTTAGCCATAAAAAAGCAAATTCACCAGTTCAACAATTTCAGCAAATTCCATGTGTTTTCTTTATGTGTTTTCTTTTCACAGGGCTGGACTCATCACTGAGACATATTGAACAGAAAACAAATATATGCTTTGTAAAAACACATGATAAACCTGGAAAGCATAATGAGAGCCCTTGCAAATATCTATGTCTTTGCTTGTGTCTTTACATTCATGCTATGTAATAGTATCCAGCCAACTGTGGAAAATGAATTTATTGCAAATTATTCAAGCAGTTTGCTAACTAATGTTCCAAAAAACATTCCAGTCCAAACTCATGTGTTAGATTTGTCACGTAATAGGATCTCCGGACTTAGTATCTCAGAATTTATTTCTCTTTCTGACCTTCAAGTATTAAATCTTTCTCACAATCTAATTACGGAGCTTGACTTTAGTGTCTTCATTTTTAATGAAGATTTAGAATACTTAGATTTATCTCATAATAACATTTTGAAAGTTTACTGTCAAACTCTTGCATATCTTAGACACTTAGATCTTTCTTTCAATAAGTTTGCTGCCTTGCCCATCTGTCAGGAATTTGGGAACATGATTCGTTTGGAATTCCTAGGATTAAGTGCCACGATGATACGAAGGTCAGACTTCAGGTATATCATACATTTGCAGCTGCACACTGTCTTCCTAACCTTAGAAGACTTTTTTCTCTATGAGCCTCAGAGTCTGACAGCTTTGAATACAAGGAGCCTCCACATTATTTTTGCAGCAACCCAAAACTTCAGTTTTCCCCTCTTGTATGATGGAATGAGCACTTCAGAAAATTTAAAAATAGTTAATTTAAGATATACCTTGAGCTACAAAGATTTCCCCTCTCCTGCTTTAATGCTTCTGAAGAAAATCAAGACAACAGCTCTGATGCTTGACACTGTGGACTTACAATGGGCTATCATTTTGCAAATTTTCCTGCTTATTTGGTATTCACCTGTGGAGCATTTGACTGTGAGAAATTTGACTTTTCGGGGACCACTGGTGGAGCTGACTGAAGATGAATTATTACCCTTACTGAGCTCTCTGGAACAATTAATCTCTTTGACTGGCTCCATGAAAATGCTAACTTTGGAGCACGTTCGTAATAAGGTTTATTATTTCAACCAGGAGATTCTATACAGACAGTTTTCAGAGATGAATATTACCTGTTTGACAATATATGATGCGTATATGCCACACATGCTTTGCCCCAATAGGACAAGCTCATTTCAGTATTTAAATTTTTCTCACAATGCCCTAACGGATAAATTGTTCCAGAATTGTGGCACTCTGACAGATCTGAAATTACTTATTTTGCAGAGGAATAAATTTGAGAGCCTTTCCAAGGTAAGC